CCTATAAATCAGTTTTTAAGCACTTGAATGTAATGTAACAATTACAGGCAATGTTATTCAACAAAAGGCTCTAAAATTTGCTGAGTTATAGGTAACAATACTTTTAAAGCATCATCTGGTTGGCTTGATAAATTCAAGCAGAGATATTCAATTAAAGAATATAATAAACATGGAGAATCTCAAAGTGCACCTATTGAACAGATTCCTAGAATGAGAGAAGAATTGAAAGATGTTCTTAAAAATTACAGAAGAGAGGATATTTTTAATTGTGATGAGACAGGCCTTTATTGGAAGATGGAACCAACCCGTGGATTATCAACAGCCCCCATTTCAGGCTTAAAATTAAATAAAGAAAGAGTAACAGTATTATTGACTTGTAATGCAACTGGTACTGAAAAGTTACTTCCTTTATTTATTCATAAATATGAAAACCCTCGACCATTAAGAGGGATTAAAAAAGATACATTGCCTGTTGAATATTATTGGAATAGTAAAGCATGGATGCAAGTTTCTATAGGAATGATTACTTAAAAAAATTGGATGATAAAATGCACACTGCAAATAGGAATATATTATTACTTATTGATAATGCACCAACACATATTTTAATGGATAATTTAGATTTAAGAAATGTAAATTCATCACTTTCCTCCAAACACAACTGCACACTTGCAACCATGTGACGCAGGGATAATTCATTCCTTTAAGGTCTGTATTTCAAACAATTTAAATTATTTATTAAATTATTTGTATCAAATATATCAAATTATTTATATGTATTTATATTTACAGTCAAATTACCGGTAATTATTTATTGCAAGGAAGATTAAAATTTTTGATAAGAAACAAAATGGTTTAAATCCAAAAGAAATTGATGTTAGAAAGGCAATAAATTTTGTCTCAGAAGCCTGGAAAAATGTTACATCAATCACTATCAATAATTGCTGGATAAAAACTGGTATTATTCCTTTAGATTATGAAGAACAAGTTGGAGATGCAACAACATTAATACAAAATATTACAAATGACCAAAGAGATGATGTTGATAATTTAATTGATAGATTAAATTTCAGTTCAGCATTAACAGCAGAGGAATATATATCAATTGATAATAATGAGAATAATGAAATGCCAACTGAAGAGGAAATTCTTAATTCTTTAGAGGAAGTTGAAGAGGAGGATGTTATTGTAAGTAGTACAACTATTCCTAATGTTTCAATAAATGAAGCTGTAAAAGCTTTTGAAACTGCTTTTAATTTTCTTGAACAAAATAATATACAAGCAGATTATAATGAATTAAAAGCTTTAAAATCATTGAAAAAAAAAATAGAATTATATAGTATTCAAAATTCAATACAAACAAACATTACTAATTTTTTCAGTAAATAATTGACTATTAATTAGCATTTTAATTTTTTGTAAAATTTACTGTATTATATCAAGTATTGTATTAAGTATTATTATATTTAAATCATTAAACCTAAAAAAAAATTTTTATTATTATTAAAATTTTTCCTGTTGATCCTGTTGATCTTATCTCGTTTCAACGGATTTAGGTGGTCAGTCCCATAGATCCGTTGAAACGAGGTTTGACTGTACCATCTGTACGCCAGACACGGTTTGGTCCATCATTCCTAAAAATCTTGAATCTTGATTCATCACTCCATATTACTGTCTTCCATTTTGTAACTTTCCAAGCTCTTCTTTCTAAACACCATTTCAGTCGATTTTTCCTTTGTTTCTCTGTTAATAATGGTTTTACAGCTGTGATATGAGAGAAAATTCCAAGTTCGTGAAAGTTTTTGCGAATCGTTTTTGTTGAAACTTCAATACCAGTGGCCTCAGCAAATTTGTTTTTAATTTCATTTGCACTTCTATGATTATATGTTTGTACAAGTTCTTTTAAAAATTTTTGGTCAACTTCATTTATTGCTTTGGGCCGACCACTTCTTGGTGCACTTTTCAAACTTTCGGCATTTCTGTAACGGGTAATGGTATCATGTACAGTACTTCTTGGAATTTTAAGTAACTTTGATATTTTAGTAAGGTTATTATTACTCATATGGAGGCCCAAAATGTTGGCTCATTGTAAATCAGTCAGCTCTTCGTTTTTTGGCATTTTAAAATTTTTTATCAATCTAGATCTTTGAAAAAAAAATTTTTTAATTTTTTCAAAATTTTATTAAATAATTATTTACACATGGTAAAAAATTACAAGAATATTCTCAAGAACCTAAGCTTCAAGTTTATATAAAATTTATGTATTTTTAGTACACAATATTTTGAGAAAATTCTAATAATTGTAAAAAAATTGAGAAGAAAATCACGATTTTAATTACATTTCGTTTTTTTTAATTGAAAATTTTATGTAGATGCTAGAAACATTAAAATTTATACACACCTAAAGAAGCATTGAAATTATTAATTTCGAAATGTCTAGCAAACTCTATGGCTTTTTCTTGCATAATGGAACCACTTAATGTTAAATTTCTTGCTAAAAGTTGGTCAACCCAGATTCTCATTGCTTCTTCAACATCAGGGTAATCAGATTTTTTATTTCTATACAGATTAACATTACTTGGGGAACTTTCGTCATAATTTAACCATTGAGAAGACTGTCTCAATATATCCGAAACAGATTGTACAGATATCCCATATTCTTGGGCCAAGTCAATGCCTTTAATATTTGGATTATCTCTTTTTTTTTCGCATAGTTCTCTTTTTTGTATTTTAGTCAATATCTTTCTTTTCTATATGATTTTAAAATGAGAATCAATTAATTTTGATGAATTTTATTTAACAAATATTTGATTAATTTATTTACTTTAGGCGATTGATTTAGATTTTCTCCTGGTCTGTTTGTTTGTGAAGACATTTTTAATTTTGTTATTACAAGGTTTTTTGATTTTTGTTACAAGCAATTGGAATACCACTCCTTTATATAAGTGATTTATTCATATTATTTATTACAAATCGGTTTTATTACAAATATATCATGAAAATTTTCTGACTTTATACATAAACCCTATTACATCACAAAAATTTCCTGATGTTATGTTTATTATAACTATTTGGTTATAAAGACACTTTCAATTTCTTAAATAAAAACATCAAATATTACAAATCATTAGGAAACTGAGACATCATATTATATTACATCAGAGAAACTTCCTGATATCATTATTATATCAATAATTTTGATCTGTTTGGTTATGAAGAGATATTTTTAGTTTATTACAAATCTATCAAAAAATTTACATCATACGTTTTATTTTCCAATTTAGAATAAATTCGAATTTCATCATTAATTATGTTTGGTGCCTGTATTAGTTAATGATCAACATTATCCGTTATATCGAGATATTTTTATTATGGTCGAACATATTAATATAGATTTTTAAAAAAAAATCCGCTAAATCGAATATATTAATATTAATATATGAAAAATCCGTTAAATCCGTTAAATCGAGATAAAATAATTATAGAAGAATTTGGTTTTGAAAATTTATCCGTTAAACCCCTAAATCCGCTAAATCGAGATCCGTTAAACCGAGATACACTGTGTAATTTACAATTGTTTTTAAAAACTTTAACAGAAAATATCTCAAAATTTTATTAAGTAATGTGGGTATTGTTTCTAAGCTAAAATTAATCCTCGTAGCGAATTACATCTAAGAATGTCATTAACTCAAAATCATGATTTTTGACGTTTGGTCCCTTTCTATTGTCCATGCCCCATATGTTTGTACAAGTTCTTTTAAAAATTTTTGGTCATCTTCATTTATTGCTTTGGGCCGACCACTTTTCAAACTTTCAGCATTTCTGTAACGGGCAATGGTATCATGTACTGTACTTCTTGGAATTTTAAGTAACTTTGATATTTTAGTAAGGTTATTATTATTCATATGGAGGCCCAAAATGTTGGCTCGTTGTAAATCGGCCAGCTCTTCATTTTTTGGCATTTTAAAATTTTTTATCAATCTAGATCTTTGAAAAATTTTTTTTTTAATTTTTTCAAATTTATTATATTTTATTAAATAATTATTTACACATGGTAAAAAATTACAAGAATATTCTCAAGAACCTAAGCTTCAAGTTTATATAAAATTTATGTATTTTTAGTACACAATATTTTGAGAAAATTCTAATAATTGTAAAAAAATTGAGAAGAAAATCACGATTTTAATTACATTTCGTTTTTTTTAATTGAAAATTTTATGTAGATGCTAGAAACATTAAAATTTATACACATGATCGTAAGAACCTAGGCTACAAATTGATGTAAAAAAATTTTTTTATCCTATGCAAAATTTTGCGGAATTATCAAAAAGGTGCGTCCGGATACTTTCTTCCAGGTAGTGTATGTGTGTATATATATATGTGTGTGTGTGTATAATAATGAATAATTTTTACATTACTTTATAAGCTCTAGCAAAATTTTATTCTTAATATGTAATAATATAATAAATTCTAGTAGAAAGCATACCTAAGTGACTGGGTTCTGTAATTACTTGTAAAAAATAATTATTTGTTTGCAATCAATACGAATGACAATTTTCTACACATGAGATCACAGAAACAAAAAAAAACCTTAAGGTTGTGATTATCTACAGTTTTATGAACAACCTGCCTCAAAAATTTTCATGAAATAGATGTATACTAAAAAGAAACTATATATCAAATTTGGTGATGATTGCTAAACAACAAGGGCACTAAACTGGGGTTTGAAAGTATTCAATTGTAAATTTTACTATGAAAAATTCACTGTTTTGCGTAGAAATAAATTTTGTGACATGTCCCACGACTGATATAATCACAAAATGTGCGCCAACACTGTTCTAGACTACTCTAGACTATAAATTTTTTAAACTTAGTGTTGGGTATATATTCTTGTTTATCACGTGATTTGAATTAATATGAACTTTAAAATTTTGTTACATCTTAATTCACGCACATGTTTACAAATTGTATCTACATCTCATTTTATTTGTAAAAAAAATATGAATAATTGTAATTCTGGAGGTACGGATTTTGTAAAGAAACTGTACAAGTAAGGTTACAACACTTGGATTTTTTATACTTGCATTTTCGTAAGCAATATTGATATTGATATTGATATTGATCATATAGAATGTTGGAAGATGATACATATAGCGATATAGTTTGTTGGGGAGTTAACGGGAATAGTTTTGTTGTCAAGGTAATTTCACAATTAATAAATAATCAAATTTGTTTATTTTATTAATTCTTATTATTTTATCAAAGGAAATCGACTCCTTTACGAAAACAATTCTTCCTCGACATTTCAAACATTCTAATTTCGCAAGTTTTGTAAGACAACTTAATAAATATGATTTTCATAAAATTAGGAATTCTGATGAATCAATTTCTCCATATGGTGAACAGGTATACTTTGTTTATAACATTGATTTTTGTTTTTACGTTTGTATGCATTTTTCTAAAATATATTATTAGGCTTGGGAATTCCATCATCCAGAATTTCAATGTAATAAAAAAGATCAATTGGATAACATTAAAGTAAATCTAAAAAAAAAATATTTTTATATCAACCTATAATAATAAAAATAACAATAATCTCTTTTTTTTAGAGAAAAGTCACCAACAATAGGAAAAATCAAAATTTAAATAATAACACTATAACAGATGTCTCTTCACAAAACGTTCAACTTTCAGAACTTCAATCTCGAATAAATAATTTAACCAAATTGCAATATACCATGAATGAACATCTGACAACTTTAAACAAAAATTATCATAACGTTGTTCAAGATTTATTAAACTTTCAAAAAAGTATGATTGCTCAAGATCAATTAATGCATAGTTTAATACAATATGTGGTTAATTCGGAAGCAGGTTTGTGCAAATTATCATTATTGTTGACCTTGATTTATATAATGAACATATTAAATATATAAAAACCTATTTGCAGAAAAATCATCTGGTGGTCGTCCTTTCAACAACCTTCAAGGGTTAACAGCAGCGCTAGGAACAGGGCATAACAATAACAATAACAATAACAATAACAATAGCAACATGATCACTAATAATAATAATTCAATTACCCCTCCATTCGTACCTTCTGAACAGTCACAAAGATTAATTGATTCATATACTGAAGTTACGAAAGCTTCTATGGATCAAATGAATGAAATTTCCAAACGTGCTCAATTACTACAAAACATGGCAAATAATATCATTAATGAAACTGCTGCTAATGATAATCCTACTTCAGATTTTCAACAACAGCAATTTAATTCACCGGTTGATTATGGTCATCATCAATCGTCGTCTTCTTCAATACGTTTATCATCATCACACCCAATAGGATCTAACAACGCTAGTAATATTAGTATCAGTGAAAACCCCAACAATGATTTATTTAACAACAACTCTGTTAATAATGACATAGGTGATTATTCTTCTGCTTCTTCTTCAAATAATAATTCACATTTTGAGAAAATGGTTTTGTCATCTCAACGACAACAACAAAATCAATTATCTCCAATTAATAATAACACTATTACTAGTAGTAACATTAATACTACTAATATTACACCATCATCCATATTACCATCTAACAACAACAACAATCATAGTAACGGTTCAACAGTTTTCACTTTAGGTCATCTAACACCAAAACAAACATCAAAGACTACTACACGATTAATCAATAATAATAATAATAATAATAATAATAATAACAATAGTAATAATAATAATAGTAATGATAATAATAATAACAACAACATGAATACTAATCATTTATCGTCATTGTCGTCGTTATCATCACCTTTACCATTAAAAACAGCCTCTTCATCTTCCGCATTATCGAACAATAGTTTAACAAAAGTAACATCAACAAACAATTTGATAACGACATCACGTGTTATTGACAACAGAAAACCAAATGATACAATGCATGTTATGCGAAGTACTCTTGTGCCTTCTTGGTCAGTTCCACCAAAAGTTTTATTGGTTGATGACGATGCTGTTTATCAAAACATTGGGTCGAAACTTTTACAAATTTTTGGTTGCTCCTTTGATATTGCTGTGGATGGGTTAAGTGCTGTTCGTAAAATGAATTTTGCAAAATACGATCTCGTGTTAATGGTAAGGCGACCAAAAGATTACTGAGGTTTTGTTTCAACAATAATAACAATAATAATAATATTCCCTTTTGATATTTTATTTAGGATATTGTATTACCTAATTTAGATGGTAAGTGTACATATAACACAGTACACATGCACATTTATTTTCTAAATAATTTTATTTTCTAACTCTTGACGACTATTAACATTGTTAGGTGTTGAGGCGACTACTCAAATAAGAAGATTTGACATTACTACACCAATTATTAGTATGACATCTAATATAGCGGCTGATGAGTGTTTCAAGTATTTGTCTCATGGGATGAATGACATTTTAGCAAAGCCATTTACAAAAGCTAATTTACTCTCAATGTTGGAAAGACATTGTAAACATCTTAAAGCCATTAAAACTTTTCAAAATATTCCTAGATCTATGGTTATTGAAAATAATAATAATTGTACGTCATCGGATGAAGAAGATAACAATAGAATAATTGAAGAAATCTCTGATGATACTAATCCTAATAGTGGTAGTAGTAATAACAACAACAACAACAATAACAATAGTGGTAGTCGTTGCTTAACTACTACTGGTTGGAGTCAAAATCTTCATAATAACATTAATGTTAACAATAACAACAGCAGCATTAACGTTAACAATAACAACAACAACAACAAGAACAACACCAACAACAATAATATTAACATAATAACTGCTGCTGCACCTTCTTCAAATACAACAACTTTTACTGCAATGATGACTGGTAATAATTATATCCAATTAATGAATAATCTAATAACAGAAAGTAATAATTATCTTCACAACAATAGTGTTAGTAGTAGTAATAATAATAATATAATATTTGAAGAAGAAGACGATGATGATGATAGATCATTACAAAATCAACGTCCACGTAAAAAATTTAAATGTTAATTATTTTTTATTTTTTTTATTTAAAAAAACACATTTTTCTTGCCAAATTTTATATAAAATTGTATTATTTTTTATAATAGATTTTGTAAAATATTAATTTCTTTATTTTATATATATATTCTTTATATACTAATTAATAATAATTAAAAAATTAAATTATTCGATCTAATGTATTTTAAAATAATTACTTTTAGTATTGGTAATAGTAATAGATATGTTTCTGGCAATTGCTTAATAAATGTTCGTTCTTTTGGTTGTAGTGATTTTTTGTTTACAACGTTCCTGCCGAATTTGTTTATTTTCGTCAAATCTAAAAATCCGAGCACCACTTATAACCACTTATTAACATTTTTTCACTCATTTAACTCTTTTTGATACACATCATTCGATCTTGCGTAAAGTTATCCGTTTTTATACTTGGGAAATAAAATTTTAATAATTCAAGGGAAGGTGCTCTGCTCATGGATACACATGTCGACCTGTCGCAAATATGTTTTCGTCAACACTAATTGTTGTACGAGACAATGGTCAACCCTTGGGTATTGTGTGCCGTAAGTGCGAAGGGATTTTGTAGAGGGAATTGACACCTTGATGCTGGGCCCCAAAGATATACAATTTCTTTTTGTACAATTATCTTAGTGATATCTTTGCTGGTCAGAAAGGTTTTGATGATCATTACTTTGTTATCATGCCGATAGTGCCATTAAAGAAATATAGGTTGTCCATCATCAACTGATAGTAGCCGTGCAATTCTTGAATTCTTATGAAGTGTTGCTAATGCACAGGAACAATTCATCAATAATGATGTCTCCAATCTTCAAAAGCGAGCTTCTCATTTTTTCATGATAAGGTTTTGTAATGTGATTTTGTTTGCCTAATAATGAGTGGTTTTGCCACCAATATTTTGCGCTAGTTGGAGCAATCAAGGGGTAATTATTATTCCTAGATTTAAGGAAACAGATGACTTATCTGTACCAGAGATCCAATTATGAATTGTATTATGGAATGCAAAAGTGGACAAAAGCCCGGAGACGTATCAGGTACACGTCAGGTATGTAACGATGGTGGTGGTACTGGTGCTATTGTCATCTCGTTAATTGAACAATAGCTTTAACTGATTGCGAAATATTTGTTTATTTATAAAAATTTGATTTATCAAGAGCAAATATCAAAAAAATTAAAAAAATTCAATTTAAACAATTTCAATCAACAACTATAGATTTATCAATCCTTGAAAATTCTTCAAAAAATCCCTATTAATTAAATATATATACCCACACGATTAGAGTAATTAATTATAGGCTAACTTAAATAAATCATTTAATTACCTGGAATAAGTTAATTGCATGATCTACATCATCTGTTCCAGCAGTTTCTCGAATAGAATGCATACTTAATTGAGGGTTTCCAACATCTAACGATATATAAATACGTGATATAATAAATATCAAACAATTATCTTGTTATTTAAAAATGTTTAATGTTATTTACCAATAGTACGTAGTCCACAGTTTGCACTTATCATTGGTCCAATAGTAGATCCACAACGACTATCTGCACGGACAACAAATTCTTGTAATGGAACTTTATATTTTTTTGCAGCCTCGCGCAATACAAGCGTAGTTACAGCAGTAGTAGCGTAACGCTTTTAATAATGAAATAGAAACATTGTAAATAAATTGATTTTTTAATGTAATGCAACCAATTAAATATTTTAATTACTTGATTAGCATTGATTTTGATGACAACGCCGTTATTCATCTCTGGTCTATGATTTTCCTCGTGTTTTTCACTACAGTTATATAATTTTTAAGAGATGTTAGGTATGTTAATATAAAAAAAAATCCATATATAAGAGCAAGTGTTGGTTAAAACATACCTATAATTTGGATGAATAGCTTATTTATTGGAAGGTATATAATAATATTAAGACACCTGAGAAAATAAAAAATTTAATCGATAGGAAAAAGCAACTTGAAAAACATATTATGTTACCATGGGACATATCAGCACTAATCATAAAACTTTTATGCATTGACTCTTCAAAAATAGTCTGAAGAATGGAGAGAATACTGGTAATAAATTCTTTTTCCCTAATTAAAATAAAAATAATCAATTCAAAATTCAAAAACATTATACCCTGGAAGGACTAGCAGACGAATCAATATTTGCTGAAGATAATCTTCTCAAAGTGTTCTCCAAAAGACTAGAATTAGCACCGTGGGCACTAGTGCTGCCAATTTCCTCATTATCAAACAGAGAAATTAAACGAATATTATTATCTGTAGATAAAGATTCTTCTGGATTTTTTGAGCTATTTATTAATGCCTAATATTTATTTTAAATTTTATTAAAAAAGAGACAAAAGCAAAAAAAAAAAGAGAAAGAGTATAAATGAGCCTACTTTCAAAGCAGTAAATGACATCATCAAATTGTCAAGACGCGGAGAAAAAATAAACTCCTGATATAGACCACCAAAAGTAGAAGGTTGTGTGTCATAAAGACACAATTCAAAATCATGTATCTTAGATGGATCTTTTTAGATGTAAATATAATTATTCACAAATATCAAGTAAATCAAACCCATCTACAAGGAAAATTAAACAAAACCTTGAATTCCAATCTCTTCAGCTAAGGCACTTAGTAAACCAGGATGATGCTTTGGTTTATTCGAAGAATTTTTATTAGCTTCTTCAACCGTTTGATTTTCCAGGCTGTATTAACATGAAATGAACTAACTTAGATTCACATTTAAAACGAATTCTGAAATATGTATTTGTGTGCTTAATAAATAATCATAATTTACGCTCTTGTTACTGTCGCTAATAATGGTGTTAAATGCGTTTCTTTGTTAAATTTAAAAGACTCATTAACTTCAGGGTCAAGATGAATAGCTAATGTTGGTATCCGCAAAATGGGTCTAATTGTAATTTTAATTATAAATCATTAAATTTGATAAAG